TTGAATGTTTTTGACATGAATAGGCCTCGAGATTTGTGCTAGATCAATGCAATTTTTTTGCTGACGTATCGCTTATATTTATAATTCTATAGATTAGAATTAAATCTCAATTTTAAATCTCCCAAAGAAAACTAATCTTTTCGAAACAAGTTTTCAAAATTCCACCAACAGATCAATGCAATTTTTTTGTTGACGTATCGCTTATATTTATAATTCTATAGATTCATGTAGATTTCCAACTAAATCATCTCAAAGAATTGACATTAATTAGATCCGAAAAATAATGAGATTATTTATCATCTTTAATTGTTTTAAATAAGGGATATTAGAGCGATTATAAAGTTAATTTATTGAAAACAAATTTCTCTTTTTTCATCACTATGAAATTTTTAGAAAAAATTGAAGATTTTTATTTTATTACATTTTTTATAATCAATGAATCTAATAAATTTGAATTAAAATATTTTAACAACTTATTATTTAATGCTTTCATTGCTTATATGTAGGGCTGCAAACGAGGCGAGCTTGATTCAGGATTAACTCAAGCTCAACTCATTCGTTGCACCACGAGCTCGAACTCGAGCTTGAGCTCCTTAAATGGCCTGCTTGAACTCGCTCATGGAAACCGATGCGAGATCATAAGGCATAAGCTCTATTCTTATTCCAATCCTAATTCCGATTTCGCCTTTCGAGCCATTCCTCAAGGAATAGAAAACTCCTAACTAAAATTCCAAAGAGACTGATAAAAATAGAATAGAATAAAAAAATAATTAAACTACAAAATCATTTTTCTCACGAAGGGCAAACCACAACACTTCCACAGAAAAAAATAATCCTACTCCTCCTATTCGGTGGTTCAATTCAAAAATTAATATTAGTTTTCTATTTGGCAGTTGAGTGATTCGATCCATCCTATTCAGCTATTCTGTCGCTCATGCTTCATAATATGCATCGTGGTCTATGGCCTGCCTTCTGCCTTACACGCAGTCGAGTCTCTCATCAAGCAAACGAGCTTACTAAAGATCTACAAGATCGAACTCGAGCTCAATAAACCAACGAGCTCGAAACTCGATAAGCTTTAGTCACGAGCTCATTAGTAAGTCAAATTTGAGATGGCTCGTTAGTTGGCTTGACTTATTTGCACCCCTACTCATATATGTACTCCTTTTACCTTTATTTGGTTATGATAATTATCTTTCATTTTTTCTTTTGTATTTTTTTTAGAAGAAGAATCATGATATTACAATTTCCTCAATAACAAGTTAATTATGTCTGAATTAGAGGATTTGATATTTTTAGTCACTTAATTAATGCTATTGTGTAAGCGATGGACATTTAGTATTTCTTTTGGCCATTTTTCAATATTTGAATTAGCATTAAAAATATAAGGAAATTTTACATACATACCACTATATTAGTATCATTTTACATATCTAACACCTCAAATATTAATATTACATTTATACCACCCAAATCCCTAATTTACATCATTTCTACCACTCCATCTCCCGCAAAATTCACGACATTTCTTCCCCTTTTTTGGCACACATACGGATGGTAAATTAGTGCTTGCGAGACGGGAGGAAGGCAAGTTCTACAGCTCGCTTCTGGACGACAAATCAGAGCTCACGCGATGGGAGTAAAGTGAGTTATGTTGTGTGCTCTCAGTTGCGTGAACCAAAGGAATTTTTGTCTTGAGTTGAGCTTGGATCTTAGTCTTTAAGCAGTGGCTGGTAGCTATGTTCTCTGGCTTGAGATGGTGGTTCTTATTTTTTAAGAGTATATATGAGGTTAATTACAATGAGTTTTCTTTACATGTTTGCTCCCTAATTGCTTTCAATAGGAAATTGTGTTTTGAATTTATTTAAACACGATCAGAGCAGTTCACGAGTGTCTGGATTCCTTTTGACTATCTCCTGAATCTCATTGGCAACCCATGTAGATGTAGCTTGTATATTATCAGTACGATCTATCTCAGGACAAGTGTGAACTCCATTTAGTCTCCTAACTTCAAACGTTTAAGCATCTTCACACAGGGAAGCTCATATTTTCCATTTACAACCATGATAAGAACATATAGAAATAACACGTTTCTTATCACTAGCCTTGATCTTAACCCCAAAATTCTCCTTGATGGCAACTGATTGCAAAGCATGTTGAAACTTATTGTATCAGAAAAAAGATGCTAACAACTATATCTTTAAAATATAAAGTTGGAACACTCAAAATACCATCGTTATGGTTAAAAGAACATTCAACCATCTGTTCAGGACTCACAACCTCTCTAAGATTAGAGATTGATTCATGTCCTTCTACTTTTTGTACTATAATAATTATCTCAGCATAAAAATTATTATTGGATACTTTTATGAACTCAGTCACCTCAACATCAAAATTTACACCTTTTTATTCCTTTGGGGATGCACCATATTTGTAATAATATATATTATATGGATGCCCCTTGTCACAACCAAACCCTACCAAGACAGGTCTTATCTGTTGAACTATGATAGACAAATCCCATGATCTAGTTTTAGAATTATTTCAGATTTTCTGCCAATATTCATTGAAATAGACTACAGCGTTATTAAAACATCTAAATATTAAAATTAAATTCATCCACAAAGTTTCATTCATTTCATCAAAATAAATATTTACATTAGAGTACATAACTACTTGAAAGAGCTATATAAGTAAAAATTTAACTAGTTATGACTGTACAAAAATCAAAATAGTAAAATATCTATAATCTTAGATTGAATCCTATACTGCTAGTCCACAACCTCTTTCCCCTTCCCAGATTCTAGAAATCAGAAGCAAAACTGCAATGAGCTACAACACCTCAACAAACAACATAAACCAATTTAAATTTCCTAATATTCTTTTATCAAATATTTTGTTGAATATTGAAAAGTAGTTAAACATAGTTTCAATAAATAAATTACTACACAAAGAGATGTAATAAATGCATAATAGTTATTACCTAATATAGATAACAATATTAAACAAGTAAATAAATTGAAATTCATATCATAGAGTAGTTTATATCACTTTTCTTAGACCTAGATAGAATCTCAAAGGATTCTAGCCCCTTATGACTTCCTTTTATTTGTACTTATATTATCAGAACATATCACACATCCCTGTCTCATATAGGATCTTAAAGAATTCTAGTCCCTTATAACTCCTAGTAATTCCTTAATATAGATAGAATCTTAGAGGATTCTTACCCCTATGGCTCCAAACAGGTATCATTTAATCACATATGCACATATATCATCACATTATAATAATTAAAGAGTAATTGAGCATGTATCAAAATTACATAGTATTGTATATTGGTAGACAACAACAAATCCTACTAGACAAAAATGCATTTTTTTAAAGAAATTTTCTAAATTATGAGGGATTGTGTAAAATGATATTTTAACACTTTTATTGTATTACAACATTATTTTTTAACATCCACATAATTTTTTATTAAAAAAAACCCAACAATTTTTAAAATTTACGTTGTAAAATTTTAAGAAAATATTTAAAATGTGTATACTCATGATTTCTATAGTATATAAAAAGTTACACGGTAAAGATTTTATCTATACAAAATTATCACTATTTTTTTGTAACGGATATTAAATTTTAATCAAAATATTTCTAAATTAACTTATTTTATTTAGAAAATTTTAGTGAAATGGTTTTGCAAAACAGACACTTGACGTTTCCAAAAATCTCATTTATACCGACAGGTGCCGATTTCTTATAAAATTTCAACAACGCCCAAAATTTTTGAATAAAATAGGAAAGCTAAAACGCAATACTATTAATGTTCTAGCAAAGACGGATTAATGTGATTTGGACTTATAATGACTACTGAAATAATTATTAACAAATGTAGGTTAAAAAAAATTCTTAAAAATTTTAAGGGTTTCACACCCCTTAAGCCATGGACACGTTCTAGCAATCTCCCCTCTAAGCATGAAAATAGTGAGTTGTCCTTTCTCAACTTTCGCAATCATTTGTTTGCCACTTTCATTGGTTTGAACCCATACTCCTCCATACCTAAATAGAACGGAAATATACTCTTTCCGCTCTCCATATAAATTATTTCAAGCATTGTCAAGATAAGCCTACAACATCAATAATAAAAATGTTATTTAAAAATTTATAGTCTTTTAAACCAATCATTAAGTACTCACGAAATAGGTCGGCTTTTAACATATCAATAATTGCTTCGAGTAAATGCAAGATTTCTTTCAAATATCTGTTTCAGACAATCTCCCTCATTATTGACAAACAACAAATAATTATTTGTTAAAGCCATGGAAGAAAAGAAAGAAGGAATAAATTAAATAACAACAAATTTCATAACATATATGCTTGGCATCAAAGAAAAAGAAATCTTGCTTTCTAAAACAAGCATAACTCAAAGAAATAAAAATGGTACAAATTCGCATGGCTTTGAAACGAAGTTACCAACAATTACGCTCTTAATTGGATGGAAGACAGAACCCGGGAAGGAAAATGTGAGGACTGTAGTAGGAAAGTAGTTTACGGGATTTGCTGTTCAGATGTGAGCAGTAGAACTCACTTTTCTCCTGTCTCGCAAGCTCTGATATGTCGTCTAGATACGTGTCAAAAAAGGTAAGAAGTTGTCGTGAAGTATGCGGGAAACGGAGTGTTAGAAATGATGTAAATTAAAAATTTGAGTGATATAAATATAATATTAATATTTAAGGTATTAGATTTTTAAAATAATAGCAACATAATGCTATGTATCAATGTAAGTAAATTTTCCTAAATATAAACATAAATAAATTGGGTCCTAATCTTATAATCTAAGCTGGGAGAAATTATTGTATGCGGAATTCACCATCTGTCACATCAGGGGATGCACTATGAGACCGAGTGCATTAAAATTTCCCAAAAAAAAAAAAAACCGAGTGCATTGGAATCCGAATATGCTGATTCGGCGCACAATAATTTCTCTTAAGCCGGATGCCCAACTCCCGGTTCGCTATTCGTCGTTTCATATCTCTTCATGCACGCGGCACACAGGTAGCAGGCGAAGGCTCGAAGCTACTCTCGGTTACGCTTCTCATGATTTCATCCTCTGTTCATGTAGCTAACCTCGCTCACGCTTCGGGCTTGCTGCACGCTTCCGCTTGGCGGTTCGTCCTTCGCGGCCCTCTGAATTGTCGCGGCCTTGCTCCCTCCGGCGACCGACGACGCTATCCTGCTGTAAGGTATGCTTCTTAAGGTTCCTTCTCTTTTTTGCTTACAAAATTTTGTAAATTAGAAAGATAGACGGCTTGCCCTAAAAAATCTAGATGGCATTTCTGAATCTGTTATGTGGATGCATATATAAATATTTATCCAGCTGCTTTCTAACTCGTTTAGCATTGATTTCTGTTGGGATTGCTACTTTGGTTTTTAGTTGGGTTGATAAATTGCTAATTAGGCTTTAACAGAAAGAGATATACTATTTACTAAGCAAATTGATTTTCAGTTTGGTTTTAACCGTTTGGTTTTCAGTTAGATTTCTTTAGTAGACTTTTACAGCAAGAGATAAATGAGTTCATATAACTCTTAATTAAGCAAATTGATTCATTTGTTGATTGTTATTCTATTTCCTTTCTCCAACTTTTGGATGGAAATGCATAATATATTTATACTATTTTTGAGAACCTTTAAAAAAAGGCCAATCATGCATTTGCAGCCTATCGTTTATATTACCAAAAAAGCTGCATATAATAATTTTTGAACTTCATTATTCTATTTATCTTTAGTTGGTATTTAAAGTCTTACTGATTTTATATATTCACCAATATTTTTCTTTAAAATGCATCTTCTTTATATTGCTTATTATGTATAAGTATCCTAGGAGTATTATATTACAAGAGAATATCATGGAGATAAATTTTTGACAAAGGTAACTTTTACAAAGCCATCATTGAGGTGATAATCTTGTATGTTTTTTAATGTTAATTCATTGCTAGAGAAATGAGGTGCTGAGTTGGACTTGTTTCCAGCTTTTTACGAATAAATTAGCAAATAATTATAGTAAAAAAATGATTTTGATGATTGATATTGAAAATAAATTTAGCTTACTCTTACTTGGGTAAATGTAATGTAGGGCTAAATAAAGGATTTTGATGTAATTTTTTTATTCACATTTTGTTTTTTCATGGTCCTTGTTATAGAGCATAGGTTGCGGCGTGATACTAATGTTTCTCAAAATCAATTTGGATTCATGCCGGGTAGGTCGGAGAAAAGGCTTAGTTTTATTATACAAAATTATCCCTATTTATAGATCTATACAAGATATCTTAATAAAAAATAACTAAATACCGAATCATGCATAATTGTCTTAATATAATCCTTCCCAAGCCTTAATATGTAATGAGATCGGCATGATCTAGGTGAGCCTCCCACGGATCCCCGTGCTGGCCGTGGGACCAAGGGCCAAGAGACGATTGAGATTTTAACTCTCTCCCTAAAGCTAAAGAATATAGATATGTCATTCCAAGCTTGGTAATTAGTCCCAAAAAAGTAGAGTTATCAAGTCTCTTGGTGCACCATAGAGTTCTCCATTTTGTTAAAACTTTGAGAAAAATTAGCTCCAGACATTACGGTGTCAATGGGTAGTAATGGATGTTATATTACGCAGAACAACAATGAAGGCTGAATTGGTTATAGATAGGATAACAACCATAATGGAAGACCAACAATGAAGGCACAACAGTATGAAAGAAATATATTTTTAAGTTGCGGCAAGCTTCAAAGACAACAACATAAAACACGTCTCAAGCGACATAGCACTTGGCATGCAAAATCTCCTTCCGTCCGATTGAGCTATCCTTCACCCCAATGCAAATAAGTCTTTTGACTCCACCCGAACACTCCTTTTCAATCGACCCCATATAGACATATACAAGGCCTACCTCTTGTCTAATCGTGGGAAGGAGTGCAAATCATGCACTTTTGCTTGTCCTAGCCCTAGATCCTCACGAGAGCGAACTCTCAACTCTTTCCATATACACGCAAGCAGAGACTCAAATTCTCTCGCTTCTGCTTGGTCAACTCTGAACGTTGCATGCGAGAGGAGCCCTTCAGCTTGAACTCTCCTTGGTCTTAGATGCAAGAAGGAAGCAGAAGGACTAATATTATTTAGAATTATGGCAATGAAGGCCTTACCCTCGATGTCCATGATCGACTCCCTACTTAGGGAAGTAGCGTACTTCACCATCTGCATGCTCACCATCCTTCGATCACCATAAGCATGCATTGGACCGTAACAGTGAATCGCCTTACCACCAAGAAAGCCATCTTATGCCCCCATCGCTTGCATTATCTGGGAAACTCCACGTGTTAGGACCATTCTATCAGCGAGCTTCGAATCTAGGGAATCAACTTCAGTCCAAATTTGACCTGCAAGATTTTCAATGGCGATTCCATTAGCGACAATGAAGAAGTTAAGAATGTGGGTTACGAAGTAGCATTCGTTTACTGCTAAACTAAAACAAGCATAACTAAAAGAAATAAAACTGGTACAAATTCGCATGGCTTTGAAACAAAGTTACCAACAATTACGCTCTTAATTGGATAGAAGACAGAACCCGGGAAGGAAAATGTGAGGACTGTAGTAGGAAAGCAGTTTACGGGATTTGCTGTTCAGATGCGAGCAGTAGAACTCACCTTTCTCCTGTCTCGCAAGCTCTGATATGTCGTCTAGATGGGCGTCAAAAAAGGGAAGGAGATGTCGTGAAGTATGCGGGGGACTGAGTGTTAGAAATGATGTAAATTAAAAATTTGAGTGGTATAAATATAATATTAATATTTAATATCTATTAAATATGTAAAATAATAATAAGATAATGATATGTATGTACATTTTTCTAAATATAAACATAAATAAATTGGGCCTAATCTTATAATCTAAGCCGGATGCCGAACTCCCGGTTCGCTATTCGTCGTTCCACATCTCTTCATGCACGCGGCACACAGGTAGCAGGCGAAGGCTCGAAGATACTCTCGGTTACGCTTCTCGTGATTTTATCCTCTGTTCATGTAGCTAACCTCGCTCACGCTTCGGCCTTGCGGTTCGTCCTTCGCGGCCCTCTGAATTGTCGCGGCCTTGCTCCCTCCGGCGACCGACGACGCTATCCTGCTGTAAGAGGTATGCTTCTTAAGGTTCCTTCTCTTTTTTGTTTACAATATTTTTTTTAAATTAGAAAGATAGACGGCTTGCCCTAAAAAATCTAGATGGCATTTCTGAATCTGTTATGTGGATGCATATATAAATATTTAGGGAAATTTACATACATACCACTATATACCTCTTATTTTACATATCTAACACCTCAAACATTAATATTACACTTATACCACTCAAATCCCTAATTTACATCATTTCTACCACTCCGCCTACCGCCTTCCTCACGACGTCAATTTCTCCGCTTGGCGCGAATCTGAGAGGAAGTTAGGGCGAACGAACTGGATGGAGGAATCTGAACTCGCAAAAGGGGAGCAAGGTGAGTTCTGATGAATGCTTTCATTTTATTCTAAATGATTTTGTTTGCTCGGTGTTTGGCTAGTTGTTCGTCACCTAAATGAGGCTTTCTAAGCTTTTTTTTAATGTATAAACTGTGTTGAAATGCACATAAGCTTGGTGGGTTTCGTTAAAAATTACCGACTTCGTTAAAAATGCCGGACTTCATTCCAAATCACCTGTGAAGATATAGAGGGTATTATAGTGATGAATCTGCTATTTAACTTACGGCTAAGAAATTCAAAATATATGGAAATTTTTCTTGACTGAAAAGCCTCTACAATCCACAGGAAAAGCTCTGCTAAGAGCATAATAAAAAATGGAATAGGATGGATAAAGCTCTGCTAAGGGCATCATCAAAGTAGCGTCCTGGGAAGGATCAGACAAATAATATACTTACAAATGAATAAACAAGCCCTCAGATGACGAGAAGAAAGACGTCCGATATAATACTCGCCAAATGCTGTGCGCAAAGAGGAGTTTTCAGCGGGAAGAAAGACGTCGTGAGGAAGGCGGTAGACGGAGTGGTAGAAATGATGTAAATTAAAGATTTGAGTGGTATAAGTGTAATATTAATATTTCAGGTGCTAGATATGTAAAATAAGAAGTATATAGTGATATGTATGTAAATTTCTGCTTTCTAATTCGTTTAGCATTGATTTCTGTTGGGATTGCTACTTTGGTTTTCAGTTGGGTTGATAAATTGCTAATTAGGCTTTAACAGACAGAGATATACTATTTACTAAGCAAATTGATTTTCAGTTAGATTTCTTTAGTTGACTTTTACAGTAAGAGATAAATGAGTTCATATAACTCTTAATTAAGCAAATTGATTCATTTGTTAATTGTTATTCTATTTCCTTTCTCCAACTTTTTGATGGAAATGCATAATATATTTATACTATTTTTGAGAACCTTTAAAATAAGGTCAATCTTGCATTTGCAGCATATCGTTTATATTACCAAAAAAGCTGCATTTAATAATTTTTGAACTTCATTATTCTATTTATCTTTAGTTGGTAATTTAAAGTCTTACTGATTTTATATATTCACCAATAGTTTTCTTTAAAATGCATCTTCTTTATATAGCTTATTATGTATAAGTATCCTAGGAGTATTATATTACGAGAGAATATCATGGAGATAAATTTTTGACAAAGGTAACTTTTACAAAGCCATCATTGAGGTAATAATCTTGTATGTTTTTTAATGTTAATTCATTGCTAGAGAAATGAGGTGCTGAGTTGGACTTGTGGCCAGCTTTTTATGAATAAATTAGCAAACGATTATAGTAAAAAAATGATTTTGATGATTGATATTGAAAATAAATTTAGCTTACTTGGGTAAATGTAATGTAGGGCTAAATAAAGGATTTTGATGTAATTTTTTTATTCACATTGTGTTCTTTCATGGTCCTTGTTAAATTCAGAGAATTGGAGAGAGAAAAGGCTTAGTTTTATTATACAAAATTATTCCTATTTATAGATCTATACAAGATATCTTAATAAAAAAATAACTAAATACGGAATCATGCATAATTGTCTTAATATAATCCTTCCCAAATCAGCCACCTTAATATGTAATGAGATCGGCATGATCTAGGTGAGCCTCCCACGGATCGCCGTGCTGGTCGTGGGACCAAGGGCCAAGAGACCATTGAGATTTTATCTCTCTCCTTAAAGCTAAAGAATATAG